CAGGGGTGCTGTGGGGGGCAGGTGTGAAGGCAGGGCACTGTCGGGGGCAGAGGCATTGTTTGAGGCACAGGGTGAAGGCAGGGGCATTGAATCAGGGTTGTGTGGGGGCACTGAGGGTTTTGCCCACAGGTGCTGTTGGGTGGCTTGGACAGGAGCTTGTAACTGCTAGTGTCAGTTGAAGAAACTTGAGTTTAGAAACCCAGTATGCTGTGCAGATTTAACCCAGAGGAACAGCCATTAAAAAGGAACTAGAGGTTTGGTCACTGGGTCTCTAGGAGCTGCCTAGTGGACTGTAAGCAACACTGCTGTGAGGGCACCGGTGCTTCACCTGAGGAGAAGTTCTGTAGCCCGGATGATTCCTTAACTGGAGTGTGGTGATGACAAGATTCCAATGAATTGCCCCTATGCCTGATACTCTGAATACAACTAAACTGTGTTTCTACAATCTCACAGATGACGGTTGAGAAATCTGTTTTTCTCTCTGCACCATCCCCCTCTTCTGGCTTTGTGTGCAATCGCTGTCCCTCTCTCCTGCAAGTTCCAGTAATGCCCGCATTTGTCTGTCTCCTTAAGCACATCGCACTGCAGTACTGGATGCAGCCAGGCCCCAAATCTCCCTTCTTCATGCTCGCTCTAAGGACAGAGGGACAGGACCTCTCCTTATGGCCTGGAGGAGGCAGAGCTGGTTGGCACACTGCTAGAAAGTAAGTGAGTTCCACCAGAGACATAAGTGTGGCGCACAAGCTGAGTTTGGCCACTCCCTGCTACACAAAGGGCTGGCAAGACTTTAAGAGCCCCAGGCTGCAGGGGGAGTTTCAAATGACTATAGCTACTTAATAAAGCTAATGGATGCATGGAGAGCACTTCTTTCCTAGCACTTATGACATGGGCCACCATCTCTAAGGTCCTGGGTCATGTTGTTAGAGACCATGTGTGGTGGTTTGTATGAAAATGACCCCCATAGGCTCAGAGGGAGTGACACTATTAGGAGGTGTGGCTTTGTTGGAGGAAGTGTGTCACTGGAGGTAGATTTTGAGACTTCAGATTCCCAAACTAGACCCAGTGTCACTCTCTCTTCCTGCTGCCTGTCCATCTAGATGTAGAACCCTCAGCTACCTCTCCAGCACCATATTTGCCTACCGCCATGCTTCTTGCCATGATGACAACGGACTAAACCTCTGAACCTGTAAGCAAGCCTCAATTAAATGTCTTCCTTTATAAGAGTTGCAGTGGTCATGGTGTCTCTTCACAGTAGCAGAAATCCCAACTCTAAGACATCATCCTTTGGAAAGGGTCTTGTATTCCCATTATTTCTCGGATTCCAAAAAGAGGCCTAGAGAAAGCAAGCAAGGCAGCCATCTTCTTCTGTTCTGGTAGTTTGCTGAGCTCTGAGCAACAAGCAACACCCCAGTTTGTCTGCCACCCTGGGTCTCGGTTCTGCCAGCTGCTGTGGCTGGTGTCTTCTCTGCATCCCGCTCCTTTCCCAGCTCTGAGGGTGCCTGGGCCCAAGGAAAGTAGGTGATGTAATGTGCTATCTGAGTTGGCTTCTGCCTGAAGCTCTGTCTCTGTGGCCCCGTGACAGGAAGGTGACTGGCGTGATGAGAAAGACCCATTGCACACATTGTTACCAAGCACTGACCAGGATGATCATCTACTGCCTATGTTTTGTTCACTTTTTCTAGTCACTTTTTCCTCTTAGTATATTCCCACACCCACTGTTTCCATAATCTTGAATTTTTGTTTTGTTCTGTTTTAGTTTTTTTTTTTTTAACTTGCTTCTGCCTAGTCCTTCTTGCTTGTTGCTTTTCCATGAAAAAAAAATCTAACAGTGTGTGATGATGAACCTGAAGTGTTGAGACTACAAATGCAGAGTCAAAGAAAACTGTCAAATACCAGATATAGACCAGACATAGCTTGTGAGAGTTGACATAATCACATACTTGGGCTTTGCACATGTGTCTGGAAAGTATGACTATACAGGGCATAGGTGTGAAAGCTGCCCCTCAACAGAGTTGGTTTAAGGCAGATGATTAGAGAAGGGAGAATTTGGTATAGGGGATGGCCCAGGTAAACAACTTGTTGATATGTGATTCCATACCAATTGGCCACAAGCATCCTCCATGGGATGAACTGAAGAAGAATCCAAGCACAGAGGCCCTGGAATTAAAAGGCCTGGCTCAAGTCACAGTTCAGCTGTTTACAAGCCAGTGGGATTTGAGTTGTCTGCTCTCCACTTCCACACTTACAAAATCAGGAGAAACTTAGCACATACTTTATAGGTTCAGTAAGTAAGATAAGCAGGAAAAGACCCTGGGTAGTGGTCCTGTACCTCCTAGCGGTTTATGTTTATAGTTAGGTATACTTATGGTCGACTGAGGATAGAAAAACCATTGTGGGTCAACAGAAAGGGTGGGTCCACTAGACACTTCCACTTTCTCTACAGCTGAATCTATGCCCCTCATTATTAGCATCAGAGTGAGCCTTTGTGGAGACCACAGAGGACCTCTTACCCAAAAGGCCATCATGGGTCAAAATCCCAAGCTCACAGAGAGAATTTTCCTAAGACAGTCAACTAAGGAACAACCCAGGCTGCACACTAAGACCCTCTGGGACATGCCCCTATATCAGCATATCACATCTCAGTCCTTGAGAGTTGAACTTTTGCCATCATTAATACAACCTTTTGATCTTGACTTACTGTCACATATTCATTAATCTGCAAGATCTTCTTGACCAGCTATTATGTATGAATCTCCATGTCAGATCATAGAGATATAGCTAGACATGGTCCCTATGTCCATGAATTTTACAGGATTGGGGTGGGGGTGGGGGGAAGACTTGCATCAAACAAAACAACATGAAGAAAAAAATCACAACTTGAAGGTGAAAGGTATAGAATTGGGGTTCTACCTGTTGTGTCAAGATTATGTGCTTATCTCTCAGAACAATGTGCTATACCTGCTTGAGGCAGGTACTGAATACATACTTGTTGAATGAACATGTGTGATTACCATGGGCAGGTCAAGATAGGACAGGTGTATAAGGTGGGGGGGTGTACTGATCTGTAGAGAGTCTAGGGAAACCTTCCCTTCAGGAATGATTGCTAAAAGTGGGCTCCAATTAGGTGAGTGAGACCAGGTGACTTCTGGGCTTAGAGAGTGCTGTAGTTAAAAGGCAAAGGAGACTTTGGAGGAAACAAAAGCATATGTCCTTTTGGCCAATAATCCTGGCAGGTATATGAATAGAAAGAGTAATCAGATGGGCCAATTAACAATAATGTTGGTAGACACAGGAAAGAATTGCGGCATCTAGCATCCACAGAAAAGGTTCAATAGTTGTAGTTATTTGATGAACTTTTCCTTACTGACAATTCACAGTCTTTCAAATTTCAGCTCAGTAATCTGAGGCCTTCCATCTTTGGATGTTTTCCCACCCCCCCAAAGTCATGTATCTAGATTCATTTATTTAATTTATTTAATTAACCTTTATTTAATCCTCTCATCAGCCTTTTTGAGGCAGGCACAAAAATTCCAACAGCCTAGTTGAAGAAAAGGGGGACGCAGGAGTTTGACTGACATGTGGTTGAATTGAGATGTGAATCTATTATGTCTGTACTGTGAACTGAATGATGTCCTCCAAGATTCTAATGTTAAATGTCTAGCCATGAGCATGACTATAGTTGGGTATGGAGTCTCTAAGAAGGTACTTAGGTTAAATGAGGTCATAAAGGTGGAGCCCCTAGCTAGCATCATTAATGTTTCCCTAAGAGAAGATGATACATGAGACAGCTAGCTGGCTTTCTTCTCCTCTCTTCTTTGTGATTTCATCTCCCTATTCTTTACTCCAATTGGAGCTCAGAAGAAAGGCTATGTGAGGATACAACTGCTATTTCTAAATGACACAACTCATCCCCTGTTGACAGCAGAAAAACACAAGAACTCAAGCCAACTGGTCATCATTTCTAGGCTGCCATATTCTCTCCTCCTGAAACTTTCTTAGCCAAAGGAGTGAATGAAGGTCAGAGTTGGATAACACTTTAATCTCAACCGTTTTCGTTTAGTGTTATCATGACTAAGGAAAAACCATTTGTGCTCCTCAAGGTGTGGCAGGGTATGTCTTTCATACCTGGATCCACAACTGTGTAAATTGATAGTTGAAAATAAAAATGTTATAATTTTCCATAAGACTGAGATGGACATGCCTTAGACAAATCAGAGCTGCCAGGCTTTCTCTGAATGCAGAGCTGAGGACCATCTATAGTGGCACCCAAATGTTTGGGTGGGTGGGTGAAGGTATCTCTGCCTCATTTGATTACTCTCTGGGTAAATACTCCGGTACATGATAATGTCTGAGTTTGGGTCTCATCTAACATGCATCTTTCCCCTGTATATAGTTTGGCATTACCCAAACTCCTTGGTCCCTCTTTTATTAATCTGTAAAATGCAGGTAATAACTTGTCCTGATCATCCCTAACATGACTCCAAAAAACCAAGAAATACTTAGGACATTGCCATCACGAAAAATAAGCCTAAGAACTTCCATTTCAAAATAAGAATTTTAGCACTAAGTCAGCATCCTTCCTTGTCTTGGTAAAAGGGAAAAGATAAATAAATAAAACCATGCACAGGAGGGGAACTTGTCCCTAGAGACAGTCATGTAATAATCCATTTGGTCTCCGGGGTGTGTTCCTGTCAAGGCACCTCTGTGTAGACACAGCAGAGGGCTCATCCTTGTTAGTGGTGGCCCACTAGATCTCTATTATGGAGTGGCAGAGTGAATTCATTTCTTCTAAGCTCCCTAATCAAATTCCCTAAGTTTCCATGGAAGCCATTGCATTCTACGTGCTTGTTATCCAAACGGTCAAGCCACACCCCTTTGAAACCTATGATAGATAACGTATTAGGGAAGGGAGCAGGCAAGCCTATTTTTGAAGTAGGCTTAAAATACAAGAGCATAGGCATTCAGGCAGGCAGAGGAAGGAAGGAGCATGCTGTACCCACCTGCCACTGCTGATGAGGGGCTTATTTCTAAGACACACACAGCACAATGCACACACAATGCAGAGAGAAAACAAAAGACATAGATCACACATTTCAGATGGTTGGTGGACAAAGTTCAGTACATGTCAAGCTTGTTACATCTGAGGTGCACATGGAAACATGGCTCTCTTTCCACTCTGTTCATCAGATGCTTCCCCCTCATCAAATAAACACAGACACACACATAGGAAATACCGCCATAAGCTGACTCTGTTCTATGGAATGAGATGTTGTATGGGGATATGGACACAACAGTATGGGAAGATGGAGTGAGGAAGAAGAGCTTCCATAGTAGCCATTTATGGCCCCCCCTCCCCAGGCATCTCCATCCACAAGGAGATATAGACCTCCAAAAAATGGTCTGAGCTTTTAGAGAGAATAGGTGGGCCTCCTGATGAGGACTCAGGCTTCTCTTTCCCAATTATCCCCTTATATGAGAAGATGGCCTGGTAATCCACATGAGAATTAGGACAAGTGTTGTCTTTGCTTAAAACTAGGACTGTGATCCCAGGAGCATGGACTCTTACTATGGAAGTTATCACATCTTACAATTGCTTCTCATTTGTTCCCGCAAACTTCTGTCTTCTTATTTGTCTTCAGATGACACTACTGCTGAACTGTCCCATGGTTCTTTGTCCCATACAGAATCCACAATCTCAGTAGATTCAGAATTTGGTTTACTCCTTTTGAAAGGAGCAAACGTGGCCAGAATAAATTACCTTGGAAATATGATTGCATGGCATGCCAGAGGGATGATAAGGAGGAGTCTTTTTTAGCTAAGGGTGGTGGGTTGAACAATATGGATGGAAACAGCCCAAGCAGACTGTGCCTATCACCCCCACAAGCTCCTGGAGCTCCCTCATATGGCCAAGCCCTCCAGATCCAGGCTTCCTGCACTCACCATACAGTGTGATGCTGGCATTGGTGTTCCCAAGCTTATTTGTGGCCACACAGGTATAGTTCCCATAATCCTTCTCTGAGACATTGAAGAAAGTCAAAGTGGATATGCGGCCTTTGTTCTCAATCCTCACTCCATCCAGGCCAGTGGCTAACCTGCAGTAGGAGAAAGCACTATTGGTCTGGGCCCACCATCAAGGGAAGCAGCAGGTATGAAAAGAAGGCAAAGGTGAGTCCTAGAATTACTTCAATGAGGTCCTATTCAAATGTCCTTTCTTCTGACTAGTCCAGCTCACCAACACAAGCCTTAAGTGCTATGTCCTTTATCAGAAGGAAAAAGAATCATCATACTCAAAAGACAACTCACTGGAGCCTACCATGTCCATAACTAATCTGAGATTCTAAAACAAGGTCAATGCGTTTTGTTGACTTCCCAGCTTCTTCCATTTTTTTCTTCTCACTTCTGATTCTAAAAGGAAACTCGGTTACAAAGGAGGTGATGACACATTTTTATCTTGCTTTATTTTTCCCCTGGAGTTTATTACCCTCCTTCTGGGGGATGCATGATCAATCGGCTCTGCTTCAGAGTTGCCCCAGTTCCTTCAGTGTACCTGGTATCTTCTTTGAACCACTGGAATTCAGCCATGGGGACAGCAGAGGCTTCACAGCTCAAGATGCCCTTCTGACCAACTGAAACACCAGTGTTCTTGGCTTTTGAAATATAAGGAGGGTCTGTGGAAACAAAAGCAAGCAAGCCAAAAAAAAAAGTGACTCCAGGGAATAAGACATATCCATCCACTGATGACACCCTCCTCTTACTAAAACAACCATTTATTTTAGGAAGATGTCACACTTAAATGTGAAGATATTATATTTGCTTCTCAGGCTTTCAACTCAATTCTAAGTTAGTCATGGTCCTGACTGGCTGAGAGCTTTGAGAGTCCCAGGAAGACTCCAGCTATAAGTGATAACACAGGTGTTGATGAGCAGAGCAATCTGATAAAACACTGACCTTCCTGTTGGCAGGCCCTTGAGTGTGGGGCTTTGAGAAAAGGGCACTGTCACTTCTAGTGATTGTTGGTTTAACCCCCGCCCCTTTCCCTCTGGAGTTCCCTGACAGCAGATCAACTCACAGTTTACAGTGATTTTTACTTTCCGCACATCAGGAGCAGCAACATCGTTCAAGGCGCTGCACTCGTACTCCCCAGACTGGTCACGTTTGATGTCAGAGATTTCCAGGTACTCATCCTCGCTCACAAACCCCTGGCCTGCTGGGAAAAGAAGAAGGATAGGGCAGAAAACAACATAGCACTGTTACTCTAGAGACAGAAACATCACCTAATCTGAGAGGGTAAAGGGAAGAGGCAAAGCCAGGGAATGGGGTTAAACATCCAACAAAGAGATAGGGTGCTTCGAAGTAACACATTCTCTGATGGAGTCCTGAGTAAGTGTATTTGCACGCAAATTGCATTAACTTTTTTTAGAGCATTTGATAATAATGGACTATCAATATTTTTCTTCAATGATTATTATGAGTTAATTAAGAAAGTGCTTTATAAATACCCCAATAAATTAATAAAGCTTGACAGCTTAAACAGATATGTCATGATCAATAATATAATAAAACACTGCAAGTAACTTTAGGTTTTTATAAACAATATTTTTATTTTTTCATTGTACAGAAATGCCTTTGTATATAAAATATAAGCTAACTAATTCCTTGTAGTAAAAGATAAATGTATTGTATTTCACATTTTAATACAAATAAATTCAAAGTTGCTAGTTCACTTTCAACCTGAGACAGATTAATAAATAACCAGCTCGATTGAGCCATTCTATAATATATATAAATATAAATATATATATATTATGCTGTACATGATAAATAAATACAATTTTAGTTGTCACTTTAAAATTTAAAAATTTAAACTATAGTGAAATAGACTAGGGAATTGATGAATGAGTTATTTTGTGTACATATAGAAATGCATGAAAACTTGTCAAAATAAACATAGTAAGCAATGGACTTGTAGTTGCTAGAATACCCCAAAGATCCCATACCTGGTTTTGTGGGTCACTCTTACACACTTATGAAGTTAGCAGTTTGATATCCAAAATATTTGAAGGTTGAAAAAATTGCTTCACTTTGTTATTGCATGCTCACTGGCAGCCTAGACCCTTCCTTTTATCCCTCATCCTCTACCCTGGTCCATTGCAAAGGGAGCAAGCTCTCTTTTCTGAGTTTTGTTGAAATACTATGTTCAATAGCTTGAAAACTCAAGCAGTGTGAAGGCCAAAAGGCAGAATCATTTTCCTTTCTCACAGACCTGCTGCCTGATCCTTTGTGCTCCTGAGATTTAGGCCAGCCAATAAAAGCTCAAGAAACAGAGTCATAACTTTCCCCACCACCCCACAGGCATATTCTGACCCAGTGTGTGCTTGCTGAACCAAATCTATGTCCACCCTGGCTATAGGCAGCAAAGTGTTGTATCTATGGGGAGCACTGGAGGGGGCCTTTTGGAGTCTGTGATTCCACACCCTAACTGCTCCCGGTCTAGGCTTTGGGGAGCTTCCACCACCTGTGCTGCCCATGTTCCATTGCTTTTTGACACTTGCTGCCTTCCTCAACTCTATCCTCCAGCTAGAATATAATATTAGTCCCTAGACGCTGCTTATTAAAGCCATCCCTAGAAGGTATGATGCCCTAGGAGAACATATTTCCAGGACCCTTATCTATGGAAATTATTTGAGTCACCTTAAGCCAGCACCTCTAATAGTTCCATTCCTTGTGAGTCTGAGGAAACATTGCATTGGCCAATAGACCTTGGGGCTACCTCACAGACATGAGTTAGAACAGTTGGCAAATCCAGCTAAACCAGTGTGGAGATTGAGTATTAAGTGTAGGAGGAAGAGCCCCCTGAGTGTCTGCAATGGTAGTCCCTACACTCCTAGCCTAGCACTCCAGTACCAGTCTGCAATGACATTGCCCTGAAATTGGTCCCCGGGCACAAGAGAAGATCTGAGAATAGCTGAAAAATATATTGGGAAGCATGAGGTCTCCAAAACAAGGCATAGAGCCCCATTTGCTGGAACTCTAAGGGTGTGGCTGGTCAAAACCCTCCACCTCACAGTTGTCCAGACTGGTTCTTAGCCCAACTCCACAGGGTTCAGTAGGGAGATGTAAACATCTTCTTTTTTTTCTTAATCTGAATTCTGATTTCACTTGGTTTGAGAGTTTAACAAAGATAAATTGTATTTCCTCTATTGAAACTGGGTTGACTGACCCCTGGGTGATTTTTTAAAGAGTAAAACAAGAATGAGATCAAACATACCCAAACAAACCTTCAGTCTCCAGTCTCACTTTGGTTTTTTGACAATGAATAAATGTGGAAGAATGGGAAGTTTGGCTATCTTTGGTAAGAGCCTATTGTTCTTTAAAAGAACGTACTACAAAATACTTGCCACCATGTAATTAACCCACAGTGCATTTAACAAAACAGATGAACTACCTACAATGGGCCGGGCAGGAGCCTCAAGCAGGGCCAGTGTTTTCTTCTGTGGGGAAAATAAGAAAGCACCAACTCAGGGTAGACACTGGAAAGATGCCCAGGAAAAGTTCTGCTCAGGCTCAAGATTACCTAATGGTGGAAGTATTAAGGCAACTCCACGTAGTTAAAAGGGAAGTTTATTTTGTGGGGTAACTTACAAGTAAAAGGATAGGTAGGTTGCAGGGTCCAGGAAAGGTGAAGTGCAGTCCAGCAGTGTTCTCTGGAGAACTCTGCTCGGTCTGCCTCCAGCATCCAGGATCCAGGAACCAAGAGAGTCGGCACATCCGGAGTTTGGGTCTTAAGGGCTCCTGTCTTGGTCCTGCCTCATAGGCATGACAGTTACCTGAAGCCTCAATGGGAGTAGTACTTCCAGGTCAAAGCTGGAACAGCTACCCACTACAAGTGCCAGTCAACTCAGGAGTACAGGTGTACAGACTGAAGGATGGCTTCACATGACATGGATGCCACATACCTCTGTGTGAACAAGATAGTCTGGGCACTCTGTGGGGGATTCCTAAACATCCTCTGGAATGCGAGGGTTGATTTTTCACTGTCTGTAATGCTGTTTTCAGGAGATGGATATATAACAGCACAAAAGGAAGAACAAAAAGGTGCAGTCCATGCAAGATGGGGGTCCTTATGATAGCACTACCTCATTAAACGAGAAAACAGATTTTGTCAAGTTTGTACTAGAGAGGAAGTGTTTCTCAGATTTTAATTTGCGTATAAATTCCCCGGGGACTTAAACAATCATATTCTCATTCAGGGGTTTGGAGTGGGTTCCAGGAGTCTGAATTTCTCACAAGTGCCCAAGTGCAACTATGCTGCTGGCCTGAGAACACCTTCCAGCAATGAGGGCATCAGGCAGACGCCAGGGCTGGTGCTGTCCCAGATAATCGCAGGTTTGTGACGGCTATGTCTATGCTGTAGTTTGGCTCTTAAATGTTGCCTGAAAGCTCATGTGTCAGAGAAAAACCTGACACCATTGGGAAGTAGCATTTTAAGAGGTGGGATCTAATGCGAGGTTTTAGATGGATGAGGTGTGGCCTTGGAGGTGATAGAGCACCATGACCCTCTCTCCCTTTTCCTCTCCTGGATATGAAATGCGTTTTATTGCTCTGGACTATGTTTCTACCATGATGGCTTTGCCATAGGACCACAGTGAAACAACCAATCATGCCTTTCAGTTCCCTCAGTCCATGAGGCACAGAAAACCCTTTGCTCGTCATACTCTGAACATCTCAGGCATCTGTCATAGTGATGTGAATCTAGCTCAGTCCATGACATGGTGAGCAGGTCAGGAAGATGCACTAGTGCCCCCTCATGCTGAGACCTGCCTGCACTGCATCACAAAAGGTGCAACTACCTCAGGAGCTCAGAGAACATACCAAGGCTAAGGCCCAAACCCATGACTTGATATAAAACATGCAAACCTTCTTTGCTGAACTGTGGGAAGAGGCCTAGTGAAGGTGATTTAGATGGCCCTAACTACTTTGAATGTTGGATGAGATTTTTAAAGCACAACCAGTTAAGACTGCTGCATGCTGGGAGCCCTAGGATCCTGCAGGACAGAGGCTTTCCCTGTACTTTCCAATACTGACTGGGAACTTCTGACTCCATACTTCAGAGAAGAGGCAGGAAGTAGAGTTTGAGGGAAGGATAAGGTTGGACGGTGGGAAGATGAAAGACGTGCTAAAATGAGGAAGGTAAGAGAGACAGAGCTGGGACATGCAAGATGCCGGGATCCTCGGAATTCTGAAGACATGCGTGAAGGGATTTCTTTTAATAAAGGCTACCTGACTATATTTTTTCAGACAAAGGACATTAAAGCAGGAGTCTAGGATAGTTCCCCAAATTTTCTCTAGGTGTGACATTGTGACATTCCATCTCAAGCTGAGGACCCAGAGGCTTACACCTTCAGGCACCCCCCATTAAAGGTTTTAAAATTGGGAGTATTTCTTTGCAAGTATGGAATATTTCAAAGAGAATATCTCAATTCTTTATACTGAGATCACAAGAGTGAGATCTACATAGCTACAAATGGGGCCCTTCTAGGGTTTGAGAGGTCACCTCTTCTGATCCAGGATGTGTACTTGGGGTAGAGTGGAAAAGTTATGGTTCTATGGAGCCAGGTGAAAGTTCTCATACACTAAGGTCCTGGAACAGCTTTATCACCAGGCCCTCTGTCTTTGGAATGGAGATGTAGACTAAGTAGACTAAGAAACTAAGAGAGAGGAAGAAATGTGTGGCTGGGGCTTACTGTCCTCTCAATCACCAGCAGGCGTTTAACTCAAGTCTGTCATGATCCAGGAGCTGTGTTGGACACTTTATGTGTGTGTGTGTGTGGGGGGGGGGCAGGGTGGTACCAACAATATAGAGAACAAGACTAATTTCACGAGCCCCAAACTTCAAGCAGATTGTACACTGTTCTATCTTTAGCTTGGTATTTCAGTTCCTTGCTATTTCCAGATCTCTCACAGAAGGTACAGGAGAGCAGGAAGATATCTCACAGCTGGAAGTAATGTAAGTATTAGGGGATGAATAGATCAGACAGGAAGTCCGAGGAGACACCCAGAGGCCCCCTGACCCACTTCCGCTCGCTTCTAGCCCGAGCCCCAGCCGCCTGCATGTAGGCCATCTGTCTTCCACCTGAGCATCCCTTCTATTTCTCCAGCAGATTCCTTAGGGCACAGTTAGAAGAAAGAGAGGTCAAAGACTTCAGC